ACTTTTCATTTTCTCCAAAATGATAGGCGTATTGAGTAGGTTTCAATCTTATTATGTATATTTATGTGGAGCAGAAAAAAAGCGATTAAGCAAAAAATGTAAATAAAAAAATCCTTGAGTAAAGTTCACTTCACATAAATACCTAAGTACCTATTTATATATATTTAAAAATAAACGTAATAAGTAGTGGCTAGTTTATAGTATTCTGTGTAAGTGTGTTATGTATTAACATCTGGCAACCCTAACCATGTACTTCATTGCCAAACAGCACTGATTGAATCATAGATCAGTCATCTACCTAATTAATTATAAGATTATTTATACAATATTCCTTCAGTAGAAGATACAGCTATGTAGGTACATACATATTAGCTACATCTACCCACAAACACCTACAGACCTACCCAACCTTTGTAAAAAGTGAAGAAGATAAGATCACTCAATTTTAACAAGCGTAGCGACTAGCAAAAAAAGATTATACTAAACTTTAACATTGTTTACGTAAGGCGGTATTTAGAATGCCAGTTTTTTTAGATAAGTTTGTATTATGTATTTTATTCAAACATTTTTATAAAAATACAATTATTTAGTATGTTTAACGGCCTACTCACGTGACCGTTTGACGAGCAACTTCATTAATTTTAAGTCATACTAGGAGCTTAAATTAATTTAATATGTCTCATGAGATTTAAAATACAAAAATATACTGATAATCTTGCAATCTTAAGGGAAATAAACTATCATATCCTTAATAAATTAATAATTGATTAATTTTTTTTTTTGTTAGCTGCACCTAATGTAACATAGAGTGCCTACTTGAATCTTTAGGGAGAGATGGAGCTATACACCTCTTTTAGCTCCATCCCTCTTTCTCGCTCGAAAGATTCACGCTTTTAACACGTCATGGTAGGCCCCCAGCTATAAGATATTGCAGGGACGATATCTGAGAAAAAATGGCATGGTTTCAGTCAGTCAGTAAGAGTCTGACACTCTTCACCCCAACCAGGGCGGGAGAAGAAAGATGATTTTTCTCTCTATATTCCTCCTCATTTCATATTCCTCTCGATAAGTATTGACAAATTGAGATTTGTTGTGCATAATCTCCAACCCTTTTATGTAGAGAGAGCTCTAAGTAACTGTTGAGTTTTACTTATATATTTATCTATATACATATATATATATATATATAAATCGATGCCGCTTTTTGTTGAAATGTTATAACTCAACAATGCCTTTACCGGTTCGGCTAATTTTGTTCTTGAATTATTCGTAGAAGTGCAGAGCAAGGTTTGTGCGTAGAGATTTTTTTTAAAAATCTTGAAAAGTTGGTCGTGGTCACCCGGCTCCACTTTTTCAAGACTGTTGTTGTTATGTATGTATATAGGTGTACCTAATGAATATGATCACACGAATGTTATCAGAAATTGTTACAACTACCAGAATGATAAGACTGGGCACTAATATAACAAGCCCTTATATACTTTATAAATTTAGATAATCATAATGTGTTTCTATGTGTATAAAAATAACAAAAACCTTACATATAGCTAATACTGTTATCTATAGTATATATACGGAACTATATGCCAATAAAATCTGAACTCTGTTAAACTTCCTCATTCAAGTGTACTTGTAAAGTTATCCATCAAGAATGTATTGTATAATGCCGTCACGATTATTGTAATCTATTTTAAGTATTCTACAGATTCTACATGAACATGTTCCATTAGAAAAAGAAGATCAAATTATAAAGTCTAATCTCCCTTCTTATTCTTATAGGTCACGTGTTTTCCATATAATATCTGTAGTGTGTTTTTCATAAGTAAAACCACATAGGTATGTTAAGAAAATAATAAAGGTTTTGGATGGGTCTCCCTATCTACTTTCTTATTTCAAATTAATCTATAGTAATCTTTTTTTTGTGTTTGTTAGTCCATTTATTGGGGAAGATTATAGGCTATAAACCATCGCGCTATGACCCATAGGAGCCGAGCAGCGAGTGAAATCGCGTGATAATAGCTAATGTTGTAATAAGACTGTAACCTAAACTGAGTTTTGAACAAATGCTTGGGTCAATAGCGTCCTGGTTTCAGATACACATCCCACATCCTACCCTGTATTAGAAACGAGCTTCTTAAACTCCGCACTAAATGCAATACCTACATGCAACTGTCTTTAATATCTACAATTACAGACAAAGAATTCCGATATCAAAATATTTAAGTATTCAAACCACGGATCAATTTAGAGATCAATGAAGCATTGAAGCATCGAATATAATACCTAAGCATTTTTTGTGAATTAGCTTTTATACGAATATAAATGTATGAAAGCAGAATTACAAAACTGTTTACGGAAAAAATATTTGTAGTGAATTTTCACACCATGGATAAACCCAATTTATAAGCAAAAACTCTTGAGGATCAATAGCCTTTTAACATCAAAAGATCTATAAGGAACATTGCTAATGGTTTCAAATTACAAAAAAAAAAATACTTTATTATTTAGTGCTTTTTTTGAGGGGCGAAATCATCGCGTGACTTTTCCCGGCTTGGGTAGAAAGAGAGGGAGAGACTGTCAGACTCTTACAGATTAAAATCCAACCTATTCCTTCTCCTGCTCATTTATTATTGTGCTTACACCCACAACACCGTCTAAGCCTAATTCTAGCCCTAGTCTAGCCCTAATTCGCTCCACCTGTGGTAGTCCGGTAGCTCTTTGGCGTATCTTTTACTTAAATTTTCAGAGCGTTTGAACTCTTAATTGTGTGATCCTTGACGCCCGGTCTATCTTGCGGCGACTGGGGCGAAAAGAGGATAGTTCCCGTACGCACTCCTTCTCCGTATTTGATTTTTTTTATTGATTAAGTTTTAAGTTCTGGCCTTTTAAGAAGGAGTTGCTTGTTTTTTGGAGTTTTGATGGTCGTATGTAGATGAAGCGCACTATTGCCTGGACTTACAATACCCCCGGAGGGCGCGAGAGGTCGCCGCCGCCTATCGCTTTCCTGCGGATATGACGTTGCTCAAATACCTTTCGTATTTCGTATTTTTAAGTGTGGGAGAGCCATGCTTCGGCACGAATGGGTCGGCTCGACCGGAGTACCACGGCCTCACAGAAAACCGGCGTGAAATAACCACAGCGTTGTGTTTCGCCGAATGAGTGAGGTTACCGGAGGCGCAATCCTTCCCCTCCCCCAATCCCTCCTAAATCCCTAAATCTCCAAATCCCTAAACCCTAAAAGGTCGGCAACGCACTCGTAACTCCTCCGTTGCGAGTGTCCATGGGCGGTGCTGATTGCTTGCCATCAGGTAATCCGTATGCTCGTTTGCCGACCTATTAAATAAAAAAAAAATTCAATAGTAATTTCAAAGTGTAGGTATGGCAATTCAACATACAAGGAAATCAAAAATCCCTAATTAAATCTAATTTAAAATACTTAATAGAATTTGAGACTTACGCGAGCGAATACAGTACCATCGACACAAGTTTGTTTTGCACGCTTTATATGCAATCCAAAGTGAGTTGCATACAAAGCAAATAAAGAAAAATATCAATAATCTGTCTTAACATTTCTCAACCAACTGAAGTGCACCGCAGGAATACATTATGACGAAACAATAACAGTAGGCAAATATTAGATTTTGCTTTTTATATTAGAAATTACAAAAGAAGTCATCGTAATAGGCAGAAGCTTAATCTATGTCAACAATAACACGACCTCACACGGCGCCTCTCGCGAAACTCTACGCAGTCGGCACAGGTCAGCCCGCTTTCCCTGCACAATCATTGAACTTTAAGCTGGGCAGATCTTAAGATAAGATTAATAACAGCGAATTAATCAAATATGTTTTAATTTTGAATAAAATAATACACAATCAAATGAAGCTCGTCACAATGCAATGAATAGGGATGTGAAAACATTAATTTATGCAAACGTTTCATAAGAAATTACCGTTATTTAGTTAGGTGTTCTGTAATATTAAATTACCATAGCGCCTGTCAAGTGTTTACTGTACACAGTACTCATAACGATTGAATTAATCCGTCAAACTGCAGGCGCTTGAGCATAACACGACCTCGCTACAAATCGTTGAAAATTACGATAATTCAAATAATTGGAGTACGCAAATAGCAAAACGCCGGAAATTATGAATAAGTCATTGGGTACATGGACAGGGACAGTCGTGAGGTGCGACCGTGTAAACATCCTTATCTAATCCGTTTGAAGTCTGTATTCCATGTGGTTGAGCAACGTTTCGCAAAACGCTTCTGTGGTCGACAATACCATGACAAGCGGCGAAGACAAACACCTACCTTGTTATCTTATGAATAATGCCGATTATGTTGGGTAAACACACGCACACGCGTCTCAATGCATTTTTCACGAATCTTTATCGTATACAGTGTGTGTCAATTTTTGGATCGGGTTTTGTATGGTATTTTCGCTTCTTGATAAAAGTTACAGATTTAAACTATTATTTTGAATTTCGATTTACCATCCCTCAATTAATTTCATAGCTACCACCTAATGCCCCAAAGAAGCCATAAGTGGAAATTGTATCCAATACTTTAAATATCTAAACTAATTATATATTAATTTACATTAAATATCTAAACATATCTATATTTAGATATTTAATTTAAAAAAAATTATGGTCCAAGTAAGTGTTATTCTAAAAAAGGTGCCTAATCTATTTCAATCGGTTATTCAATTGCTAAAACACCAATTCTGTGTGCAGACTTGCGTGCGGAACCTGCTAAAAACTTAAACGAATATATCCAAAGCCTTACTTATGCGCAAGTTTCACCCATTAATAAAACTTCCTATAAAGTTCATTATTATATAATTACGAAATGTCTATTGTTGTTTTCCGTGAACACACGCAGAATGATTTAGTTACAACCTGTGCGTGTGGCTGGCGGGCGGCGGCGCACGAGTCACCTAGATGTCCCGCCTATTGTCCACGCCGCGTCCACCGCTGGGTGAGCCGTCATTACCTCACACTTTCAATACTGGGTTACGAGAATTTTACTTCAAGGTCCTCGTTTAGGAGCAAATAGAGGAGGTATAAATGGAAAGACGAGCAACAATAGCTCACAGTTGGAGTTCAACAACTCGATCGAAAATGTATGCGTACATCTGTTTTGTAATGTGCTTCTTCGTCGGTACGTGACGTGCAGTGAAATTAATGAACTGTCAATACTTTTTTTTTAGTTTTTAGAAATCTAACACCGCCTTCTTTGTTTATAGGTAGCAGCTTAGCCGACTATCCGCAAAGAGAAGCGTCCTACTACTCCGCTCCAAACGACCCGTATTCGGTGGGCATCAACCATAACTCAATTCAGGAACCATCCCAGAGACTTTTCTGGGGAAACCAAGGCAGCAATCAAGTTGGTGGAACTGGACTATGGGCTACATTGACGAATAAGTTCCCGTTCCTGGGAAATATGTTTGGCCGTATGGAACTGCCGACACAGTACGGCGCGCCCAGTCAGTACGACGTGTCTCAGCAGTACGGTGTTCCACCGAGGTTCCAGCCTCAGTACTATTCCGGCCAGCAGCAAATCTATCAGCAAGTTCCTCAGCAGTTCCCGCAGCAGTTTGCTCAACAGTTTCCTCAACAGTTCCCTCAACAGTTTCCTCAGCAAATCGGACAGCGATTTGTGCCTTCAGGTCGCGACGTGGGAATAACTGACGATGCAGTGATAGTGACACCTCCATTTGTGCCACCAGTGCAACCCCCTCAGTTCCCAGCTCCCGCACCAGCACCGGCGCCCGTACCGGTACCTGCACCCCAGCCCTCACCAGACCAGGGGTACACCTATGAGAGGCCTCAGTACAGGTTGGAACTTCCCCACAAATAAACCGATGCGCTTTACTAACTGACTGACCGTAGACGCTAAGTAAATATAGTCATTGCACTTTTTTGTTTAATTTACTGTCTGTGTTTTCTTTTGGTAAATATTTCATATTTGCCCATGTGTGAAGAACAACACGTACTTGCCAAATATTTTAATTATAAGTGCGACACCGTGTCAACTGATTAAGTAAGATTTAACAAAACAAACTTAGTTAAAGATCATTAAACTCGGTCCAGTTCAGTTTTACCTACTGGTTAAATTCAACAGCTTTACATAGAAGCATATAAATTAATTGTGCAAAATGATTATTTGAACACAATTATTTGAACGTGTTACAGAAATAAATAGAAATTGCAATTGTAATTGTATATCAATCACCATATGTATTCTCCGCTACAATACTACGAATTTCTCTGTTATAATATTATGAAAATAATATCGACTACGGGTTTTATAATACTTAAACTGTCAATTGTAATGTGCTCTCTGAATTTATTTTTATAGATGCAATAAAAGTATTTAAACTATTTTCACCATTTTATTAACATAAATCTTAAACCATCCTGACAAATGAATTAATAAAATTATTTTCCTATTTATTGCAGATTAAAAACTCTTTATTTACATTAAGAATGCAACGAGAAAGTTAGACAATGGTTACAAATGACAAAGTAGGTACATATTGGTAAACTATTTGTCATTTGTTATGAAAGACGTAGATAAATACATAGATAGGGTTCCATTATACAATTTGGTATTAACGATAATTGCGTAAGCTATAAGTTTCATACAGGTTTTGTTACTCATTTCTAATCTTTAGTAAGTTCGTATCTTAATAACACGGAGCCCCTTTTATCTAAAGATAATATACATCGTACCTACCTACTTTTAAGTATTTTTATTTTATTCCAAGTAATAAATTTGGAGGTCTTATAGTTATAGTTTAAAAAGATAATTTCAATACTTGTCGCATGTTTAATAGAAAACAGAACTAACTAAAAAAAGAGGGTAAGTATTTCAAAATTGAACCTTAGATATTATTATAACAAAAGATTACAAATATGATAATTTTAAAGACCGTTTACTTAATTGTGCTAGTTGTTATATTTACAAACATCACTAAAACCTCATTTTCAATCCTCAGATCCACTATCCTTAAATCCTTAATGGGAAGAAATTTTGTATTGAATATATAAACAAGGGACCGACAACGCACTTGTTGTAACAGCTCCTTTGGTAGTACGAGTTTTCGCGCTAATTGCTTACCATCGGGTAATACGTCTGCTATTTTGCCGACTTAAGGCATAAAAATGATATAAATCGACATAAGTTTCTTTACCGATCTTTGATTAATTGTCATTTAAATTTCTCGCAAGGACAACAAATATTTCCAAACACATGAGTAAATTAATGTGATCTTGGGGCAACGATTTGACCCCAGTATAACTTTGTTCTTCTTCAATAAAAGAACTAAAGACACGTGTGAAAGAGCCATGTTTCGGCACGATTGGAACGGCCAACCGGAGTTATACAACGACCTCACAGGAAACCGGCGTGAAACAATGCTTGGTCTATGTTTTTTCATGTGTGTACCACCCCTACATCCCCAAATATCCAAATCCTCAATTTATACCATCCCTAATAAGCAACCAACGTTTTGTTTTGACTGTAATGTTGCTAGTGCATGCTCAATGAAATAATCTTATGACGTATCTACTGCATTTCAAAGTTTACTTGAGCAATTCTTAGGTCTTCGTTGGCTACGAAGCAATGTTTTCCTAATTCACAAATTTCTTTGTATCTAATCCTTTTTATATTTAACCAAACTCCCTTTGAGACATACAAAATCCATCAAATACTAATTTATAATATTAAAAAGCATTTATTTAAGACTGGCTGACCTGAGGGAACTCACCAACTCAAAGTTAAATAATATCTAACTGACACTAACAAAGCAGTTTGCATATAAATAATGTGATGATTCCATACTTGCTTTAGACTTTAAAGGGTATGCGACGTCGTTTCTTATATTATTGAAATCGCTCTCATTTTATTGTCGTTAATATTTTGCTCACAATATTTAAATATTTTCTCATCGTTTAAACCTTCCCTAGACTCCGATACTACAAAACCTAAACTAAGTAATTCGGTGCAGCCTTTTCATAATTTGATGAAAACTAGCGAACATCATTCATTTATAACAATTTCAATTTATTCAGATAATAGGTCAGCCTTTGACTGCCATCTCACCTAAATGGTAATGAGGAAACAATAAACCTTGATGATGCTTGTAAGCAACCTAATCACTCGGGAATTAAACCTGTACCTACGTATAGCTTACGCAATGATTTGACAAACAAAAAGGAAAGTAATATTTAGTGAACCGAAGCTATCTGGTCATAATAGCCTTGTCCGTTGCTGTTCACTCCCACAGATGTGCTGGCGATCACTGCCTGTCCCAATGCTGGACCATACTGACGACGCGTCATACCAGAACTGAAAATAAAACATAAATGACCAGCTTTATTGAAATTTCATGTACATCGCTCTTATATGTGTTCTTGGGTCAAAGTGTGGGAGAGCCATGCTTCGGCACGAATGGGTCCAAGTGTGGGGAGAGCCATGCTTCGGCACGAATGGGTCGGCTCGACCCGAGTGATACCACCGCCTCCGGCGTGAAACACACCACAGCGTTGTGTGTCGCCGTGTGAGTGAGGTTGCCGGAGGCCCAATCCTTCCCCTCCCCCTCCTTCCCCAATCCCTAAATCTCCAAAACCCTAATCCCTAAAAGGTCGGCAACGCACTCGTAACTCCTTCGATGTGGGTGTCCATGGGCGGCGCTGATTGCTTACCATCAGGTAATCCGTCTGCTCGTTTGCCGACTTATAAATAAAAAAAAAAGGTAAGCTAATTCTAAGAAATATGCCGTACGTAAACAAGACCAGAGGGATTTCTTTATAAAAAGGAGTACTGTCTTTTATTGAAGGTCTTCTGTGTAAGTAAAAAATAAATTCTGTCCTTCTGAATTTTTTTTTTTTTTTAATGTAATAAGTTGGCAAACGAGCAGACAGATTACCTGATGGTAAGCAATCAACGCCGCCCATGGACACCCGCAACGGAGGAGTTACGAGTGCGTTGACGATCTTTTAGGGATTAGGGATTTGGAGATTTAGGGATTGGGGAAGGGTCCAGGAAGGGGAAGGATTGGGCCTCCGGTAACCTCACTCACACGGCGAAACACAACGCTGTGGTTGTTTCACTCCGGTCGAGCCGACCCATTCGTGCTGAAGCATGGCTCTCCCACACTTAAATCGTGCGTGAATTGCGTCATTTTCAAAAAATGCAAATCATTATGAACAACTGCAAAATTGTTTTGTTTTTAACCCCCGACGCAAAAAGAGGGGTGTTATAAGTTTGACATGTCTGTCTGTGGCATCATAGCTCTTGAACGAATAAACCGATTTTTAATTTGTATTACAGGTGTTTTACGGGCGAGTGTTCTTAGAACACTATTTAATAAAAATCGATTGAGCCTTTTAAAAGTTATGGGGGTTAATGTGGGGAAGAAAAACCGAATGTCTGCAAATATGCTCAAGTGGGGTATCAAATGAAAGTTTATGACTTGTACGTCACAAAAAAATTAAGTTTGACGTGTCTGTCTGTGTGACTGTGGCATCATAGCTATTGAACGGATGAAACGATTTCAATTAAGTTTTTTTGTATTATGCTTTTAAAAGGTAGCTTATGTCTTTTTTTGTGTCGGGGGTTATTTTTAAATTTTAAATTTATATTTAACTATTAGGCATTACATTCATGCTAAACCTCCAGGCTATTTTGAAAACGTTGACACTGCAATAGAAGCGCGTACCCTTTGCGAATGCCTAGTTAAAAAGTCTATGAATATTTCATGGCATTGCTATAAACATACAATGAGAGCGATTTCAATAATGTAAGCAAACAGACGCTGCATATCCTTTTAAAGTCAACTGCAAGAATGGAATCATCATTCATTGTGAAAATAAGCTCCATAAATCCAGTTTGGACCGAAGATGTTTTGTTGCTTTAGTAGCATACATAATAAAATTGAAAAGGTATATTTTTAACATATCTGTCTTGAAGAAAATAGCATACCTTTTATAAAGAGGAAGCCCTAAAACCAGTTACGGAAATTTAAAAATGCTAAAATCTCCTTACACCACAATTTCCAATTTTATTCCTTGGAATCGAACCAAAACTCTTTGATCGGTACCGTTGGTCACCACTCGACTAAAGGCTGAATTACATTGCCCAATTAAATCAAAGATTTCTAACAATAATTCAGTACGACAACGATAAAAGTATTTTACCACTTCGTAGCAATATCGTAGCAGCTTACAGCGTGACCAGCGCGTTGATGTCTTTTGAACCTAGTTTTGCAAACGCTCTTTAATTCGTTATTTTACCTGTGAATATTGGGACTATCGCCAACAAATTTTAATTATAGTCTTTCAATCTTCGAAAGAATAAGCTTCGATAGAGTAAGTTAAGGAACACTACTTTCCAGCATTACAATGATATAGGGGTAGGTACATCTCTTCTTTCTTGTTCTTTACTTTCCCTAATCCGGGAATCGAACCCAAATGCTTTGCTACACATCAACAGTTGCGGCTACAATCACTCGATCTAAGCAGAAAGATCAAAGGCAGTTAGTGATAAATGAGAATATAAAAATGAAATTGCACCAATTGTTTATCAAGCCGTGTATTAATAATTATTAATTACAATAAATAGGAAAGAATCTTCCGGCAGTTGCACAGCGTGTGTGCAGGCGCAGGTGCGCGGCGGGCGTGCAACTGGTGGAAAATACGCGTTCAGGATGGATGTGCCGACACCATGAAGTTAGTCTAGTTACTGACTGTCGCCTTACTAGTGCCTAGGGACACACAAAATAAACAAGTTAGTTACTCCTTATTATTAAAACAAAATTACCTCACAAGTTACCTAGAAAATGTTTTTTATTTGTAATGTAATGAACTCAACACAAGTTGTATATGTAATGAAACATCAAAATGATTCCTCAATGTTGTCGAGATGAGCAAGAGTGATGATGAACTTTGCTTAAGGTAACCAACCTAAGGGTCATGTTAAGTATCATTATTAGTTCTTATTAACACATTATCATTAGCTCGGGTTTTACAAACTATGTATGTAATAATTAATCACACACTCTAATATTTTTCTATTGGCACAAAACTTAAATAGATGAGATGAGCATACCACATAATTGTATAATTATGATGGTATTGGATGTCGCTTATTGAATCATGAGCTATCTACTTCTAAAATAAACATAGCTATGGTGTTTTGGCTCCTTGATTATGCCCATTTTATTCACCAGAATGATAACGAGGGTTTAGTTTTAATTTTTGTATAGTAATTATCGTAATAAATAAAGTTTATCCAAAATATGTAACTACTAATTTTCGCTATAAAAATATACCAAGAAATCCTAGTTTTTAAAGGTTTTAAAAGCTTTTCTTAGCTGTTCTTAGTACTAGTTTGAAGTTAAGGGTATGGGATTCTTATTCATCGTACAACTATCGCACAGCCGAGTTGAGTTAAGCAGCTGTGACTTGAAACTTTTTTAGAATCACCTTAGCAGGGCAGGGTTACTAGCGCCGTATTGTTGTGAGGGAAGATCCCAGCTGCCGCTGTTAGCATTCGCGTTCGCGTTAGCAGATGCTCGACCACCTCCATCTGAAAAATATAAGAAAGGTATTTGATTAATAATTACTATTTTTTCTTTACGGTGCAAGATTTAGCCCCCAGTTTGAGCATGGAAATCAAATATTTTTCTTTAAATACCAATTAAAAAAGCAAACATAACTTCTTTAAATATTTGAAAAAGTAAGTGGATTACAATGTAACATCTAATTGTCACGAAGGTTGTTAAATCTCATTTATTAGGGAATGATTCTACAACCGTATACCAGATACAGGTCTGAGCTCCGTGTTATTTACTAAGAAATATTTATTTATTTTAAATCTGAAATGAAACTCAATCATTCTTTACTAGACCCGAAAATTTAAGACAAACTCAGTACCTCTTGCTTTGTAATCGTACTTGTATACTTAAATATAACAAAGCCTATACTGAAATGTAACTAAAATATGTAGCTACAAATACCGCGAGTCTGTCAGTCACCTACAAATAGCAGAGCAGCGCGACTGAGAATCGGGTTATGGAAAGGGGCACAAACGGAAAAACAAAACCAGTTTTAAAGCGTCCTACAAATAGAGTCAATCAAAAAAATTATGTGAGCTACGAAATAAGTATTACAAGTTTTATGAGTGAACGGTAACTAGCAACTACTCCACTTATACTTGGGACAATGAATGATGTTTATCGATCAGTTTTTGTGCGTGTACCACTTGACCGATGCCAAGCTGTCGCTGTGAGAATTCCGACACCGTTAGACGAACGGCGCCGTCGTCTGCGCAGCCTCAACAGTATAAGATTGACTCTGTACTTTCATACAAACTTACCGATGAATATAAACTTAACAATAAGTGAAGCGATATTAATAAATATTTCTATATATGTAAACATAAATAAACATAAGCAAAATTATTTTGTACTTGTCGCTTATAGAACACCGAAGCTAAAATTAATTAGGTATGGCACTAAACAACAAGAGAACTAAGTGATTTATTATTACTTTTTTCTTTCTGCGCTAAAACCTTCAACGAATTCGTTTACTTACTTGCTTTTACGCCTTGCTACCATACTTCTTTATTACTGTATGAAAAGCCGTCCGATGTGAATGCCCTAAGCTCTCGACACGTACCCGTTCTACATTCAACGACAATTATGTGCCTTGTAACTGCAGTACTCCATGTACTGTCGCGCATACCAACTCTAGGTAATGCAGTTTGTACATAACAATAGGCTACAACGACAATTGACCCGCGTCGATATTTGGTTACGTGCAGCCGTGTTAAGTAAATAGCTATGCCTTATCTTGTTATTGTAGGTAATGGTTTTTGCAAAGTAACTACGCATTTACGTGGAAATAATTGCCTATGTTTAAACCGTATAAAACCCGATTGCAGATTGTAATTAGTAAAATATATGAATTAAATATCCATTTCTTCACCTCTTCCTGATGTAGGTGTACCTACTCATTATTAATTTACGAAATTATAAATACATCTATTAATATTAGCTATTAAATTATATAGAATTATATTAAACTTTAATAAGCAATCATAATTTATTGAAAAAAAATATTTGCATCCATAAATAAAGCGTGCTAGGAAAATCCGTGACGTCACAATTACGGATACACCAGCGTGAGCGTTACGGTATTCAAATGCATGATTAATTTTATAATTTAACAATAAATCACAATTACTAGGAATACGTGACTAAGAAATAAATAAAATGCAAAACTCAAGGATCGGAATTCAATGCGTTTAAAGTGTAAAATGAAACCAAACGTAGTTTATTTTGTTTATGAAGATTTCTATGAACATTTAAAGTTTCGACCTTCACATTAAATAGCTATTCATGTAAAACCTTCACTGGAAGTAAACATTGTAACTTTTCTTAATAATGACCGATTGTTCAAGAACAAGTACGTAATTAATCATGAGTGATGTAATGCTAAGAGTACTACATCACCTAACATTGGCAAAGAGCTATTGTTGGTGCCGACCGTAACCTAGACATTTGTCCCATTTATTAGGTACTTTATTATTTACTAGCGGTCCGCCCCCGCTTAGCACGGGTCCAACTATCTCGCTATCATAGGGTCACTTTTTCCTTAACTTCCCCTCTACTTTTCTAACATTTTCTTTGATAAGAACCTTCTCGTGACAATAACAAAAACAAAAAAAAAAAGAATTTGCAAAATTGGCAAATCAAATTTTTATCCGCCAACTCCGACAACGTCGACTTCCTAAGTAATGGTAGCTAATAGACGTTATTTATTTATTTTTTTAAATATTTTTGTGTAGCAGATGTAGAAATATCGCAATTGTGCCTTTAGTTTCCAAAAACTTATAAACAAATAATATAGTTGTAGGTTCTATTATGTTAACAAAGGCAATATAAGAAAAAATCTATTTTATGTACACACAGCCATTATTTCTAATTTTATTACATGTAAAGATTTATTTCTGCGACTACGTTAAAATTACTTTGATATGGTTACCTGTGGCTAAATTACATAGTGGTTATTATTTGCTTTCTGTATTTTACATGTACTTAAATTTCTGCAAAAGTCTTAAGAACCGCGCGTCTTTCAATTGCTTAAACAACATGAAGTTAAAAAGCCTTTTCAGTAGTTTGAAAACTAGTTTGAACACTACATGAGAAAACTACTTGAGTATGAAGTGAGCTTGTGAAATAATATGGTTACATACATTTTTTTTGACAAATTATGCTGCTTACGACACATTTATTTTGAGTTTGCTTACATATCTTAAAAATATGTAACGTGACATTCATAAGAGATTAAAATTTGAGTTAGTTGTAAGTGTAAATGAATGAATAGATCTTTTTCGTCAAGTCCAACCTCTTCTAACACCTAAAACATATGTTATTCTAATGCAGTACTAGTCACATAAAATAATTAAGAAATAAGTACCTATTATGCCTTTAACGTTCAGAAGTGCCTGAAAGGGTCTTGTTGAAGAAAATGATTTTGACTTAGACTCGGTCACTAAGAATAACCCGATATAAGCAACGCTAACTTTTTCTCTGTAAACCGTGCATATACAGCACACGAACACCTTCACACATTATCATTATAATGCAGGCGATGTATTCAATTTAATTTTACGACCGTGATCTAATTTAAAACATGTTCACAAATCGTACACAGCACCGTGAGAAAATACGTAATGAGGTGTCTTAACATTTCCTTCCTTCGTTGCATTTTACCTCTAGCTAATAGCTGTTCTCCCCAAGCTAAACGTGGGGAATTCTACAAACTCCGTTAGACCCTTACCTCTAAGGGCTTTGCTCATGAATGGAAGTATTCCAGCTAATGACAATCTACGAGTAAGTATTTAAACATATGAGCGTGATTTAATTGGTCAACGAATGCGATGGAATCTCTAAATGCTGCACACGTTTCAATACTGGGTCGTTCTGTTATGGGTTATTGTATTGCATGTTAAAGTAGAACGCTTTTCTTGCTGCTAACTTCTCATACATATTTACGATTCTCAAAAGCCTTAAAGCTATGCGGGACCTAGTAAATGCTCCTAGGGTCTGGAAGTCGAAAATCTTAGTTTGTGGCCAAACTCTTGGTAAAAGTATGGTGAGACCCAATGATGATTTATAGTACAACTAGCAAATAAAATTAAAAGAACTAAAAGATTGGCATTCGAATAATTGTACTAACAAAATGTGTATGGTGTAAATACATTATCAAGAATGTAGGCAACAAAAGTACTTACGAGATTCAGCGTTGGCGCTGGCGTGGGCTTCAGCTGTGTAGGGGTAGGGTTGCAAGGACCGGCGCAGACGACGCAGCGGTACATGCGCAGACTCGTGGCCTTCAGCGTCTATGGTGTAGTACGCGCGAGGAACATAGTACTGTCCTTCTGGAATGTGCACAATGCACATATATGTCACACGTGCTCATACTAGCAAATCTTTTACACGTGAAATTTCTAAGCCACAATAAAACAATGGCCCGCGGCCTCGGCCTAGAGCAGGAGAAGGAACGGGGGAGTTATAAGTCAGTAAGAGCCTGACACTCCCTCTCGCCGCACCCTGGACGGTAGAAGCCATTTAATGATTTTCCCCTCACAAAAAAGCATGTACCTTAGATACCTACCTACCGAAAATATGAACTGTACTGTACTATTTTTTTATTTGTTCTTCGGTGTTACTACTTTGATAACATATCAATGAGAAATGAGCACTGAGTCTTAGATAAGCAAGTATCCCGAGTAGGTACTGTTCGGTTTGAAACCCCTTCTACAAACAAAATAATTTCGAATTCTATCTAAAATATTTGCAAAATTTTTATTAAGTAGTTACCTTGGATACCTTAATTAAGAATTAGCTAAAGGAAAAATATAATCACGCATCAGGTAACCAGGAAGCCATTCACCTTAAAACTGAGATCATCACTAATCGCCGTAGTTAAATGAATAAGGCGTTTGCTTTTTATAAATGACCTCAGCAAATCGTGACCATCAGGATTCGATCATCGGTACATCGCTAGTTAGCGTGAATATAGGTAAAAAATGTTATGTTAAGTATAATAGCCTGATGTAAGTCGCAAATGAATAAAAGTTTAATTGAACTACGAAGAATATACCTAGTACGTGGATATGCTTATCTAGCGTAGTTTGATACGCATATTGTATCTTCATAACGCCACGATGCCAGCTATTGATTATTGAAAAAATGCTGAATAGAATAGGTATCTATCATACTTTTTTCTCTTTTGGCAAGCAATAACACAACATACAATAAGTATATGGATGTCACAGAAAAGTGTAGAGATGAATGAATATTTAAACTCAACCATCAAACATCGAATTGCATTTGTATGAAACTTGATATATACCTAAAATACCTTTTTGCAATACCTGAGCTCGCAAGATTACTTACATGTGTTCTAAAGAAAAACATTCATAATAATATATGGAAAACAAGCTACTGGTTTCAAGACCTGTAATAAGTAAACTATCGAGTATTCAACGGCATCGTCACAGTCATGAGAGTTTCTTCTCGTGTTTTAATAAGACCAAATCCAATTATAAATGAACATGATCTTGACTTACTAAACCGATGGAGAGAAAATGTCAACCATCTTAATCACAATCTAATTAATAGATAACTTTTAACCATTGGTTAAGTAACTAGTAGGTATTCTCCAGGATGCAGTGCATTAACATGGAGCATAAGAATGTAATTTGTTTTTTTTCCAAGCCTTCACAAGAAGTATTATATAGTATTTTTGGGTAAAATATTTTACAAATATGAAAAAGGTTTTTAACTGCCAATCAATTATCATCTCAGGGATGATCGACCCCGCTGATTCATCAAGGCAACACAACACCAAGGCAAAACAAATTACGGGGAAGATTACTGACCGCCAACCGAAACTGATCGGAAATTACACAAAATGACACATAGAAAAGTAAATTGCAAGTCAGCTCGGCCGCTGGGACGGTAAAAACTGGAGGGCACTAACCTGCGAGGGCTACGGCAAACACTGCCGCCAAGATGAACAAAGTGAGCTTATGCATTTTGTACGTGCACACTTTACAGACGCCGATCAAGAACTGGCTTCACCGTACCCGCTCACACACCTATAAGGCTTATATATCGCGACAACGGCAGCGTCTCGGCGGAAACTCACGCGCATCTTGATGCACGGCCCGCAATAACGGTCAACGCTGGCAAAAACCTATCATCAAAATGAATGAAAACCAAAAAGTAGCTATTCGTATCGACAATTCGAGTTCCGAAATGAAAGTAATAAGACTGTTCGATTTAGAACATCTCTAAGACTTTCGTAAAGTCCTTTAAGTTTCTGTGGTGCCATAAAAATATATTTTATGGCGATATTATGATTAACATCGCAATTTCAGAAAAATATTGAGATAATTTTCGTGAAGTCATCGCTCGTTTTTAAAAGGACCATTATCAATAGCGTCGGTTTTGTTCTAAATCAAGCCTAATTTTTTGATGAAAAGCTTATGTATTTCATAATGCAACCAGGTATGATTAGATAGATTTTCTTAGCTCAAAGTAATCTATCACTCTACTAGATACAAATACTTTCGCTCGTCGACTTTAATTTTTTTTTTATTGTTTAGTATTGAAAAGCCTTCTTATTTTTTCTAGTGTAAGTAGATTACCTAGGTACCTATCTATAGAATGTGGACTAGACGGTATTTTGTCGTTTTTGTAACCTCATAAACTAATTGGCATGCGTCAAATGCAATTCATGCAGTGAAATTAAAGTGGTCTACCTTACCTATCTAGAGTAACTTAACTACCTACATCAGGTACATCATCATACCGATGATTGTTACCCAGTAGATATAGACGGTTATCTACAAGTTTGCGTTCTATGAACAATCCGAAATCTCGATTATAAATATACGGCCCATAATAACAGAAGAGATTCAGTCAATTTTATGAGGTCTACAATTCGGAACGATTAGGTATTACTTTCACAAAGTTTCATACGAATCAGCAATAATGAAAGCTGCAAAGAACTACTTACCTACTAAATTCAAAATAAATAATAAGGATCTTGCACGATTCATAAACAAAAAAAAACTGAAAAGTTCACCGCGACCTCGGCCCAGAGCAGGAGAAGGAACAGGGGGGTTTTTAGTCAGTAAGAGTCTGACACTCCCTCCGGCCCTGGGCGGGAGAAGTCATTTAATGATTTTCCCCTCACAAAAAAAACGTCTGGTAAAATATAGGTTGATCGTACCTATCTACTCGATGTTTGACAAGAAACAGTATCTACAAGGTACTTAAGCTCAATGTTCATAAACTTATGTGTAGAAATACCTACCTACTTAATTAAGAAAAAATAGATTTTAACAATGCCTCTGCCTACCCCTGCAGAGAATTTAAGTACCTACCTACAAGCAAGGATTTTCCAAGCTTAATCATTTTGTAACATTGTCTTAGTACCGACACAATTATTTACGGGTAGGAATCAATTTTCCGCGGTAGGTACCAGTCTTCTGTCCGTACGACCAGTAGCAAAGGAACAAGAAAAAGCGTTGAAAAAAGCTGTTCATTCACCTACTGACTAAGATATTTTATATATTTGGTACCTATATTCTTGTACCTATAAGTACAATAAAATAAATCTGTGTCATGGTCAGTTAAATGCATCTTACTACCCATTGTCGTGCTTATTAATAAAAAAATAGTGACGCCATTTGAGCGGTTTATTTTTATGAGACAATATGTTATTATTCATAATAAGTTACCTACATATTTTTAAGGTGACATCCATAGGTTCCACATAATTAATATGAGATCCAGAGATACACCGGTCATATCTCCACTCCACACTGTGCAGTGTGCTATTACGACTAGGCTTTAAAAATCTGATATAGGGTAAATAAGTCAGGCACTCGGATATTGAATGCAACGTCCCTTCATCTGGCTAATTCGCTTGCATTCATCCTAAGAACTTCAAATATAGTGATGTTATTCTTAAAAGTAATTTTGAAATTTTAATAATAAAAATAACGTAAAAATGTTTCTCATTCGAAATACATTGTTAGATCATATTATTGTAGTAGATACCTATTTTTATAATTGACTTGACATCTAAATTCTTACCAACGATCAATAAAACTTGGTACCAACCAGTAGTACCTACGGACCTAAGTGTACCTACAATTATTGTAAGTATCAATAAAATTTCCAATTTACTAGTGTTAATTATTAACTCGAAGACAGTAGGTACTAGGTATAACGAATAGTTAACTGTTTTTGCGGGGAAATCATCAAATGCCAACGTGTATGCCACCTTGGGTGGATGTAACTCTTAACCCTCATCTTTTGGTTTCTGTATTGTGTATGTAGGTACATAGGATTATAACTATGACGTATCTTGCATATTATTTTTTTAATTTTTTGTTGGTGAATCCTCTTGGATACTTACTTACCATGACATGCTTGTGCGTGGATTTATTTTGTGTCATCTTAGTAGTAGTCCAGAGTTTTATTTAATACCATGTTATTTTTTTTAATAAGCAACACAATTAAATATCAAACATAATTTCTTACAAAAATTTATTTGAAATAAAAATAACATCAAGCTTTTAAAATTGACAATTCTCATGAAAATTATATAATAATTTATGAGCACAATTTCACATTAGGAAGAATAATTTCATTATTTCTTTACATTAAAGTATAACAATAATCACGGATTCAATCTCAAAGTGTAACGCAAACGAGACAAAACCTTCATTCCAAATGCAATGAATATATTATGTAGAAAGAATAAGTGATACAATAGACATGCTGGACAGCATCAGCACCTGATTACATTCTTACAGAGAGACAGAGAAGAGAATCATCCATTAAAAACATAGAAACTGCTAAATTATATTAAAAGTATACTGTAAATATAAAAATATAATTTAAAAAGTAAACTCGTATTGGAATCCATCTTAATACAACATAAAATAATTTCTTTTAAATATTGAAATGCAAAATAAAAATGGAATTTTCATCATTTAATGTGTATGAACACACAGTACTTCAATATTCTTATCAATATATTCATATAAACAACAGTTTAACCTAGACTTCATTTTTTACACTTTAGGAGATATTTTTACAACCCTGTATCCACTATACTTTTAATGACGATAATTATGTTCCACAGTCTAAATTAATGTTTCGTAAAAGAAGATACAATATAACTACGATAAAGTAAGTCTTGTCACATACGTGCTTGATACCTATACATTAACATCAAACATCGACATCGATTACGAGTATCAGAGTCCGTCACGGGGCTCACAATACAAAAAAACTATTTTGTGCTATAACATTGATATCTAGAGGGGGATAGAAGAGTCAGCAAGAAGTAACTAAAGTGTAGTAGTGGAAAGACTCAGTTACGACGGGATGACGACAACCTAACGATACAGTTAATGTCAAAGTATTCAATGAATGAGCGTGGTTCACTTCGCCTTGGCGGTCTGTCGCTGCCGAAGCGTCTTGTTCGTGTTCTGGTCGACTTCGGGCAGGTCGGATTCCTCGACCGGGGCTTTCTTTACTGTGAACGAAAATAAGGACATTATTATCACATCACCTGCGCGAACACACAAATGGTATAAAATTATATGTTGAAAAAGATAGTATACCTTTTTCCTTCTTAGGCTTTTCTTTTTTCTCTTTCTTGGGCTTGGCTTGCGCCTGCTGGCGGCTCTCTTGCCTTTGCTTTATGGCTTCAGAGATGAAGTTGAACATCAGGTAAACCTATATGTAAACATTGATTAATTAAAACATAGTGACCCATTCAAATGTTAGTTTCAATTATCAATAAATCAGCTAACTTTATGTACAGAGTGTAAAAATCCAAACATATACGATAACAATAAGCATAAAATATATTTAATGAAGGTCGAGTTGACCTTCATAAAATTTACATTCATATCATAGATAACTAACTATAAAAATGTATAAAAATCAGTATAAGTAGTTACCTGGAAGGAGACTAGTACAGAGAGAGCTGCGACGCGGATGACGAGCGGCGCCGCGCCAGCGAGACCAAAGTAGAATGTGAGCACGCCCAGTACCAACGAGCACAGACGGACAGTCACGAAAACGGAGCCGTTGATCAAGCTTAGGACTGTAATAAAAGTATAAGTTTTGAACCAAAATTTCACTTAAAAGGTTTCACCCCTTTCATATGATTATACTTATGTAGCATAAATAAGTTCTATATTCAACATCTAGTAATCTAGCACATAACAGCTATTCAGACATTTTAAAATAAGTGTTTAGGCAGTTTTATTCCCTGTACTACCAGGGCCTTTCCGAATGTATAAATGTAAAATAATATTGTCGCTATTTATAACTATTACCTACTGTTTTAAACACAATTCTGTGTTTCACCGTTGTTTCACTCAGGTCGAGCCGACCCACTCGTGCCGATGCATGGCTCTCCCACACTTACTATTATTATAAAGAAAAGTAGTATTTATTGCTTTAAAATGACATTTCTTTTGTAACTTACATTTGTCTAACCAGTCTTCACGTTCTCCCCTGAGGATAGTGTTCAAACGGTAGCTGTGAGCCACAAATTCGGCCAGAGAGTGCAGAACAACCAAGCAGACACCAACACGCTGGAACCTGATTAAATTAAACATTAGTTGTACAATATGTTTATATTAAATATGAAAGAAAAGTAGTACAAGTTTAGTTTAGTTTAGTTTGATATCATTACAACACACTACAACAAAAGCTTATAACAATATACATATTATGTATGTTGTATGTTATAACAAAAACATATAAATCACAAAAAGAATATAACACACACCATGTAAAGTTTTGTAAATAGTTATATGTATAAGCATTTCTGTGTAATTGAATAGTATTTGTGCAATTTTGCACATAAAGTGTATAAATAATAATTTTTCAATTATTCACACACCTCAAAAAAGGTTACATAATATGAGACTGGAGTAAGTTGTAGGTATAATTTGCTTATCAGAATCATAATAAAGTCGTGAATGCTAACTGCTGACGAAAATAAAATATGCTAGAATGCTATGTAATGAAATGGCCAGTAGTTATTGAATGCATTATGCATTTGTATCTATAAACCTGCGAAATTGCCCACACAGTAAACCCATAAATTAAACTAAAGCCTTTCTATCTATTGCCCAGACCCCATATAAAATCTGTGAAAAATCCGAAAAGGGCTTATCTGTCTGTAAGTGTTTTATAAAATTAATTTCGAGACTGATGCAGGAGTTAATGTACTAACTAAAGATAACATGGATTATTTTGCTAAAGAATGATAACATTATGATAAACAACATCTACTCTATCAATTATATTTGTATAAGTAGCTGTTGTGAAGATAACAAATCTTCAATTGATGATATTTCTTATCTTTTTAAGCAAAATGACCTTTTACTTCACATGTGGTCCACTGCTCATTTATTTTACTGAATCTAAGGTAGAACAATGCTCCTCAATATTATAATAAAATTTATATTGAATAAAATTGCTGACTAATAATATTCCTAATAATAAATTGTTATCTTTCTTAGCTTTCATTATTAAAATAATAAAATAAAATACTATCAAATAAGAATCATGTAAGTTGGTCAAAAACAATAACTAATAAGAAATACTTACTTGAAGCCATAAGCTAAAGCGACAAATGCGAAAGCAGCAGCGGCATGCCTGATGCGACCAATCCATTCATCTTTCTTGATGCGCTGGAAGTACAGTTCAGGGACAGTGTGGATCCAGTAAGCAGCTTGGACAATCCACCAGAGCTTGAGCAAAAAGCTCATAGGGTGGCTAGGGTAACCTGTGAGAAAATGAGTTGCCAACTAGAAAAACCATAATTTTTTCATCAACATCATCTTTATAGCTAGAGGAGATTAAATGTTCCTAAGAAACCACATATTGTTGATAAATAGAATAAATGTATGTTTGGTAAAGTACTGTTATAAATGTTGTTATGTTAGATTACTGTACTATTTGACCTAAATTCTATTTGATGCTAAACTGTTTAAATTGGAGAAAGTTTGTCTTTAAAGTATGCTAATCATTCCAGTGTCAACTTTACCTTCAAGTTGCTTTAAAATATTTATGGTTAATCAATTTTCATAGAGTGACCATTTTTTTATCATAGAACATTCCAGTACCTTCATTTCTTCAAACAAATATATTTTATAGAAATTATAGTTTTGCACTTAATATAATGAAAGATGAATAATTAAACAAGTTTGGAAATTGGTACAGCCTTGTTTTCAAAGTACTCTAAATAATGAAGTATTAAAAAACATCTACTTCTACTACTCTCTACTATGATTAATAATCAGAAATAAGATAAAATAATTACCGTCCCACAACTGTGAAATATTGAAGACAAATCCTTCACGGATGATGGCATCTCCACCCCAAATAAGGGTCACGAGGTGGAACACAACCAGTTGACCCGATTCATTCAGGGCACTCAGTCTTGATTTGGACAGATGAAACTTCTTTGATATTTTCTATAGACAAAATTTCTAATATTAGTTACTTTACATAAAGACCTAGTGGGTCATCTTAACAAATATCTACAGTTATGATATTTAATGAATCAAACATATGTTACAACCATGACACACTTACATCTAAGAAATACTCCTGGAGGATGGCATGCATCACAATGCATACCAACGAGTAAAAGAATACTGCACAGGCGTCTTTCCATCCTGCTTCATAGAAGAATGGCTCTCCTTTCGGTGCTTCTCTGGTGGGCTCAACTCCACTGACATTGTGGTGTAGACTGATGAATAAGCTCGCTATCGGACTTGTCGACTGCAACATGAACACAATAGCAGTGTCAAAAACAATTTTACTACAGTAAAATTATGTGGGAAACTGATTTTCGGAAGCTCATAGCTTACGTGGCAGGCTTGTCACTCACCTGTACCATCAACCCAACCAAAAACACCATCACCACACACGAAACTATATCAGCATGATTCTGAATCACAAATTCGTGACTAAAAATAGGTGGGTTCTTGTTAGATTTTCTTCCAATTGCAGGTTTAACACCCATTTTTCCCGACGGTAACCTGTATGAAATTAAACCGATGTTAAAACAAAACTGCAAGTAACGTGCAATTTATAAATTAAATAAGAGTTACTTAATAGATTCGTAATAAAAAACGTTAAAATTATCGTACCTCAGCACAGACGGAGTGAATTATACCCGAATAATAATATTTTCTGACAGGAATCCAATCGACGTGACACTTTCACTTGCTACGCGGTGAAACGTCAACGTCGTTTGTTGATTACGGAAATACGACGGTTGTTGTGTTGGCACTTGAGAGCATCAAATACTTTACTTTTTATATTATTTTCGTGAATTTCGTTTCGGAATGATATTTATCAATTAGTAATTAAATACCAATACCAAAAAAAGAGTAAGATAATTTCATATTATATTTATTTCTTAAATAAAAATTTATTAAAATTGTTTTGCACCGGAAATAACTAACCATAGACTTAGTTCTAATTTTTAACCACATTGAAGTCTTTCTGACCATAAACAATAAAGGTGTCTATGCACCATCCAATTTGATACGTTGATGGGCGGAGGAGTACATTATAACAAGTACATAAGTGTCTCATAATCAAAGGAAAAATATCACACAGACGAGTATTTATGACAAATGTTTTTTTCAACAATATTCGTCAGATATTTACTTTAATTCCTCGATAGCTTTAAAGCCCCGTCAATCACGATACATATAATAATGTTGCATTTAAAATGTTTCCAAGTTACTAAAAACTAAAACTTAGAAATAAAAAACAGCACTCTATATGTTAATCTAACCTATCTACATATCAGAACCAAATTTGTCAAGCCGTTTTTGCGTAAAAGAATAACAAACTTACATACATCCATACATTCTCACCAACTCTCACATTTTTGACATTAGTACGGTAGTAAGACTAGTAAGCAAACATGTAATATCATCGTGTTTCCAGCAAACACAAATGACGATATTACATGACGATATAACCGGTCTAAGTCCAAGAGTTTAAAATGTCAATAAAACAGCATTACTACGACAAAAAATAATTTTATTGTAAATTTCACGTGTCATTAACAACGATTCAAATAATATTTTTTGATAAATTTGATTACACATTACGATATCTCACGAAATACTGTCTACTATAGTAGTTTCTATCAATTTTCGCTTATTGTCTACATAATTCTTATAACATAATCTCGGATACAAAATACTCGATAGCCAATCAATAAAATAAAATCTTCAAAAAGAAATTTAATCTTAAAATAAGAATCTCATATATTCATCCTCCTAAATAAATAAATTATAAAAGTGATCCTATTAAAATAAATTAACACCATTATTTTCACAAAGAGTAACAGTCAGTCCACAGCCACTCATTTTTTTTGTAAGCTGTACTTGAAGTGTTTTTTAAGGTTGGATTATTGTAATATGCTATTACCATATATTAATTAATTGCAGTATACATGGATGATGGTATAGTAAACATATTATTATTTATTTCTTGTGTCTGTGGTAACTGATATAAAGCCATTAAATCACACAAATGTATTAAAATGGAAAGCCTCGAACTTCAACCTCTATAAATGAATGTCATGAAATTTAAAAATTATAATTTTACCTAAAAACTAAAATGGCAAATCAATAGATTTCGTTTCATTACAATCGCTTCATCTAATACTTATTGGATATCAATATACACAATTTAAAAAATAATTTCGAGAATAAATCCTAGTCCGCCATTTAGTATAATATATAACTTGTCTACTAGAGATTACAATATTAACGACATCTAGAAAGCATGCGAAGTTTATGCACCTTTGTAACATCTAAAGTAAATAAATAGTAAGAGCCTGTGCACACATAACTTGTGAACATAGTAGAAGCTTGTGAGTATAACAGAAGAGTGCAACACATATACACAATAAGCACACCAAAATTATTTAAAAATGAATCTGAAATACCTTATAGTCGATTTGATAAGTGACTTTCAGAACAAAAAAAAATGTGTACACAGGACCTTTTTAGTTTATCTAAATTGCACAGACCAAACATGTTAATCTGTGATTAGATAAGCTTACCCCCACAAAACAACAGATGTATATTTTAGCTATGGATTATGTAATGTTATTATTTTCGGTGGAAATTAATCTCAGGGACATTTTATATAACATTTTCGGAATCGATCTCTCCTTGTTCTACAGTCATGTACATGCCCTCTTCCTCGTATGTAGACTCGTGCTTCGCCAGAATACGGAGCAATGGACGCAGCTTCATCCACCATTGCTGCTTCGGTATTCTCTGGCTGGAATTATAAGAGGACAAATGATGTAATGATTATAAAACAAATGTCTCTTGCAATGTATTTTAATTTTTGTTTTGGAGAAGCTATAAATAATGACATTTACGCAACTGTTGAGTAACTTTTTTTGCTAAATATGGCTTATACTTATGAAAGGGTATGATTCTTTTTTTACTTGTCTGCATTGGTTCTAATACTTTACTTACGCAAAGTTAGTCTGCGCCTTCAAGTCCTCAAGAGGAGAGAACTTGTACTGTCTCTTAACGATGCCCAGCAGACAGGCGGAGTCGGGACTATTTGCAGGTCCTTTCTGAATGGTCTCAACCAACCAATGCAGACATTTAGCAGCCATCTTCGTTCCCATGTTACGATCGAAAGGCGTGGGGGATCCACCTTGTTGCATGTGACCTTTGAAAAAGAAAAAAATGAAAATTTGTTATTCCAGAGTCTAGTCTGTAGAACTGTGACTTTCTGTTAATCAGAAAATAAACTTCAGCGAGAAGACCTACATTCAGCGATGGAAATCTAGTAATGTCTAGGACATTGATGCATGTTTTTTTTAATAAATTAGAATAGAATTTGTTTATATGCAAGAAGCAGGTTACAGTAATATCTTAGAGCTAAACAGTGAACTTCACACTTCGCCATATATAAATAGCTAGCAAAATTTATCATTCTGAGGGTACAGATAATAGGAGCTCTGTAATTATTATATTATGATAGACGGTGCTTTGGGAAGCAGTTGTCCCTTATGTTTGACGTCAAGTTTAACTAATATTTCACTTCTATGTATACTCTAAACCCAAACATATTTTATTAATATAATCGATAGACACATACCAAGCACGTTCATCCTAGCGGTGAACAGGCCCTTGCCCTCTTCAGAATACAGACGGTAAATAAAGTCTGTGTTGTAATTATCATTAGCTTTCTCGTTACGCAGGATGAGACCGCGCTGAATGCCACCTGTCATCTTAGAGGCCATGTGGTACACATCTTGCTGCAAGTCCTTGATAGAGAACTTCTCTTCGTAAATATACGCAGCGTCCGCGCCACCAGCCAACCCTGAGAAACGATCAAATACCTATTATTGTAAAAACGCTTTTATAGCACGAGGCCTAACGTTTGTCCTTTTCAGTTGGTGTAAATGTAAAGTAAGATCCTATAGTTGTCAAAAATTGACTGATCAATAGTGTGACACTAGCAAATTCACAATTAGAAAGACAGGATGTTACGCTACATTAGCCATAGAACCATAAAAACCTTAGACAGTGGATTAAGTTTCTTCTGATTTCATTGTAGATATTGTGTATAATTTACCTGCTAAAGTAGACAAGTAGCCGCAGTAACCTCCCATAGTCTCAATGACAAACACACGGCGTTTAGTTCCCTGAGAAGAAAATAAGTATAGCTTTATTTCCTTAACCTTACAATTGTGGTAATTCGAGACGGAACAGTAAAATAATGGGTGCTTGAATGCATTCGCTTGGGGATGAAATAAATTACTAAATTATTTACTATTCTCCACAATCTTGTTTACATTCAAAATCATGTCCCGAGAACCGCATAGAGATTTGCTTCATTCTACAATTTGTTTCTATGTTAAATTATAGGTACGCTGATCCATTTTAAGCACCATCAAATAAGTATTGTATTGAAAACTACTGAATAAAAGGTGGATGGAATGGATGGTAACTATTAAGATTAAATTATTTACGATATTCATAACTATTGTATGTATAAATAGTAGTTACAAATTAACTCACCTGAGCAGACTGTCGGATACGGTCACAGATCTCAGTGATCTCGTTAAGTGCCGTGTCAGATCCGAGAGAGAAGTCAGTTCCGGGAACATTGTTACTGATGGTAGACGGGATCACCACCAATGGGATGCAGAACTCGGGGAACTGGGCACGACCCTCGTAGATCTCCAGAGCGGCTTGGTAAGCCTAAACATATAGAATACAATAGAGCTCTTTCTCTCTTGCTCTATTTTTGTCTCAGGTAAGTCATGTTATTTATTTCGGAATGGTTGGGAAAAGTGTTGAGACCTAGTCAAAAGTTCTTATTTTTTAATGTACTTATAGTCCTAAAGTGTCTACAAATAGGTATTTACTAAATCTATGTTAGCTAATACAATAAATTTAAATAAACTTTGTGTATATTTTATACGCCCTCTTTTATATAAAAATACAGCCCAAGATTGTTTACCTTTAGTTAACCACCTGAACCGAAAGGCAATAGAAATATGTATTTTGTCAAGCCACAGTGACAAAATACACGATTTTGAACATAGGTAACCATTAATTTTACCACATAATAATATAAATTAGTTTATGGAATAATAATATTTAAATTTATGCGTGCCTCAAATCCACCAATGATTAGGAGTCCTTGAATATTGAACTGCTTGATGCGAGCGGCTATTTCTGCCTTCTTGTCTCCGGGAAGAGTACGTTTAGTGCCAAGGAAGGCACCTCCCTGGGCCACCCAACCAGTCACATCAGACCTAGATAAAAAAAACCATTAGCGTTAACTTCGTACTTTCAAGAATTAACTTTTCAAAACGTAAAATTACATGTATAATCCAGTTTTTCAGCAATTATTCTACTGTTATACAGTGTACAAGACTACGCTCGCGAAGTTTTATTTATTTATTTTTCGATCGTAAAAATAATTATTACCCGTGTCATGGGAGCTTTTACAAACGTACAATTTCACATACACATCACACCCAGACCCGGAACAACAGTTTGTGGATCACACAAAGCATTGTTCCGTGCGGGACACAAAATAAAATATATAAAGGTCGTTACATAAGCTCAACCCGACAATATTCCTATGATGTAGAGTCACTTAAAAAGCCTACCAAAATAATCAACGCCGTTTAATCTTATATATAAAAATGGATCGCAAAATGTGTTGGTAAGCGCATAACTCAACAACGCCTGGACCAATTTTGATAATTCTTTTTTTGTTATGTTTGTTATTGTCAGGAGAAGGTTTTTATCAAAGATATTAGAAAATTAGAGGGGAAGATTAGGAAAAAGTGACCCTTTGATAGCGAGATAGTTGGACCCGAAGCGGGGGCGGACCGCTAGTATTAAATAAATTTAACTCGATTAGTCCGACAGACAAGTATAATATTGCAGGCCCAATCCTTACCCTACACCCATTCCTCCTCAAAACCCTTATCCTTACAATGGCGGCAGCACACTTGCAATTCCTCTGTTGTTGTGGGTGTCGATGGATAGCGCCAATTGCTTACCATCAGGAAATCAGTCTATTGGTTAAACCGCGCACCACATAAAAAATGACCTTTATATATTTTAAAACATTTAAGTATCGTAACAAAACTTGGCACTAACTGTAGGTACATATGCAATCGTAACATAATAAATAAATAATTGAAAAGCTAGCCATGCTTAAAGCAACTCAGAACTGGTAATTACCATTCCATATTAACGATGTTTCCACTGATAAAGCCCTCGATACCGTCGTGGATGCCGAGCACCGTGTCTCCGCGGTAGATGCAGTTACGTACGAAGGAACGCACAGCCGCGTTCATACCGCAAGCCGGCGCGCCTACGTGCATTACAGCTAGAGTCAAACCTTCCTACAAAAGACAACAACATTTAAGTAACGTCCTACTATACTATCCTACTAATATTATAAAATAAACGTGAAAGTTTGTAAGGATGTATACATGTATGTTTGTTGTTGTTTCACTCAAAACGGATGGACCGATTTGGTTAAAATTTGTTATGTAAATTGGTGATATCCTGGATGACCACATAGGGTATGATTTTTATCAACATACCACGGTCTGTAGCTAGTTACATATAAAAATGAATCATAAAAGTTTAATTATTTTCTGAGGCATAATAAACAATGAAACATACATAATAATAGGTACATATCCAAAGATGACATAATTATTATATACAGCACTGACAGTTGTCTTGTATGTTTCTATTATAGGATTTAATTAACTACATACAATATCTACTAACTAATTAAGTTATAACATATAATATCATCCACGTTGTCGACGTATCATATCGTGGTCCGGAGGTTAAGGCCCCCGTTTCTCATATATGAGGGGTGCGAGTCCGGAACCTGGCAATTACCAATGCGATTATTTCCGAGTTATATAGGTAGGTATGTATACTTTTTATATAATGATTTAAATACTACTGATATACGGTGAAGGAAAACATCATAAGGAAACCTGGACTTATAATTTCTAATTATAAGTTTGATATAGCCAATCTTTTTTAAGCATTGTGATTAGTACTTAAACCTTCTCCCCGTATGAAAAGAGGCCTTTGCTCAGTAGTACGCGCTTGTAAGCTGATGATGTGAACATCAAACTTTATGCAGGTATATCTTACTCACAGCAGGTTTGCCAGACGCATCGAAAGCCTCCTTGGGTGGCTTCAAACGAGTCAACATCTTGTATGTCTCCAAATTGCGTGCAAAGCTGCGCCCGCGCAGTTGCACAGCTAGATCCCAGTTTTTGTCAGCCATGGCCTACAATAAATAAATATTATTCTTTTAAATTGAAAATAAGACCATGAATTTATTATAACTGCTCAGAGAGTCATCAAGGAAAGAGCCCCGGATTCAAGGTCAGGCAAAATGTTTTTGAAGTTATCGGTTTTTAGAAAAGTCTCAGTACTTTGTATCAGTTAGGAATTATGCCTGGTGCCTAGAATAGGTCTGATCCTTATAAGGTATATTATATTTACAACAAAAGCAAAGAAGGAGTAGTGTCAAATTTACTAATGATAGTTGGCTACTTTTAAAATATCTTAATATATCTTCTTACCTGAGCGACAGCCTTAGTGCGTCGCACACACTCCATGAGAGGTAGACGCACAGCTTGGTTACCGTCCAGAGACACAACACATGGCTCCGTCTCGGGGGTGGCTTCCATCAGAGCCATAACCGCCTCAGCACCCATACGACAACCCTAAAATAACGAACGTATCATTATTGGTACAAGCTTTGATTTCGAGCTTATAAGGTTATACAGAAAAGTGTTTCATCCACTATTTTTTATTTTTGTGTAGGGATAATCATCAAATAAGTTCATTTGCCCAGGGTATAGCGAGAGAGAGTGTCACTCTTGCTGAATTACCGTAACCCCCCCCCCCCGGTCCCTTCCCGCTCTTTCTCACTTATAGCTATAGAGCAAATTATAAACACGACCAACATTGACATAGAGCCAAAGTTTTCTACAAGATTCTAAATAAAATTAGTACTTATTGAATTTCAGTACTTGGCAATTTTAATACCTAGTTACACATACGCATGTAATATCATGTATCCAGCTCAAGGCTGAAGCACTGTAGGTACCTAACGTTATGCATTTTAAATAGTTCTATCAATACAATTGGTAATTAAGTGAACCAGAAATATACCAGATAATATTCCAAATCAGGATTATACAAATAAACTAATACTGTAAACAGGTAAAAGGCAAGGTTTATGTTTCATTTAGGCAGAAGGTACTATACTGATATTAATACATAATAAATTTTTCTTTATTGTTGACCCAGAGTTATGGGAGCGTATTGCACTTTAGTTGATGGTGATAGTAATGCATCTGTGTTGAACTGTTGATTGTAGGGTAGGACACCAAGCGAAGCAAACATATAAATCATTTGGTGGTAAGCAATGGAGTTGGTCCTCCTATATAATAATTACTAGCTTTTGCCCGCGACTTTGTTCGTGTGGACTTCAGGTTTGTCCCGTCTAGTCTAGTAATAAGTCAGAAATACGGTAACTAAGCACTGCAGAGCCCTAATCATAGGTCTATAGGTAGCTACTGCAGTATGCTCCTATAAACTACATTTAACGATATTTTTCCTTCAGCATAAACATGCAGATTCTTCACTTTGGAAACGTAAGCGCAAAAAATGTGTTTTTTACGACCTCACATTGGAGACCTCAAAAATTGTAGCCTATGTGTTATTCTGATGTATAAGCTATATTGTGGTAAAGTTTCATTCAAATCCATTCAGTAGTTTTTACGTGAAAGAGTAACAAACATCCATACATCCATACTTACAAACTTTCGCCTTTATAATAGTAGTAGGATATAGGTACCCGCGATGTCGGCTTTTTCATGATTAGAGATTGGGAATAATTGCAACACCGTACTTACGAGAATCCTATCGAAGGCCGAAGGAGATCCTCCACGCTGCACGTGACCCAGCACAGTGATACGTGTGTCCTGCTGTAGATTGTCCACCACAACCTTCTTCACCAGCTCAGCCGTAATAGGCTTGCCTTCGCGGTCAATAGCACCTTCCGCAACTATGATAATATTCAGACGCTGGCCAGATTTCCTTTCCTATATTATTAAAATGTAGTTAGTAAACACGTATATGTAAAATTCATATTGTCAATACATATAACAAGTGCAACTCATAGTATAGACACTTATCACAAACACACAAGTAATAAAGCAATTTTAAAAGTTTTGAGGATACAAAAAAAACCACTCAAAAAATATTAGAAAAAGTTAAGCATGCATGAAGAAATGATTAGACATTTAAGAAGTAGGTAAGTACATAATGAAAGTGAGAAGGTAAGTGGGGGAGTTCTAAATGTGTCGTGTGTAAAAGAATTAAAAAAGCTGATAGCTGATAGTACAAATAAAATATTACAAATAGCCAAAGCACCTCCTTAATCAAATTTTTAATAAAATAAATTACATTTTCAATTACTGTAAGTGGCTTATATCAATTTCGATTAGTCAGTTTAAATTAATGAAGAAATGACATGTAAATAAAGCTGCAAGAAATATATTTATTGTATATAAATTAGATTTACTGCTTACAATTAATTTAATGAAAATAACTCATTTTCTATTTTACTATGTATTACATCATTATTTTGCTACACCATTATTGCAATAATTTCATATAGCTAAAATATAGGTGTAGTGTCAAGATTTTATAGAGGTAGAGTCAAATTACATTTGACCTCTGGTTGATCTTGTTCAATCATTCACTTGTGTGAATATGCACAAGTAGTTACATCACATCTGTTTTAGACATTTAATAGTGATGCAAACATAATTATTAGAATATTTTCATCTAACAGATCAATTGCATACTATAATATTTTGCAATAAACATTTTAAAAAGCTTAGAGTATTGTGTGTTATCATTATACAGTGCTGCTCAACTAAGCCTGCATACCTGAGCCAATCTTTTGCAAAGCTTTTCAACCCAATTATTGGGAACAGGGTCCTCAGGAATGAATACTTGATCTGCCTCGCTCGCCAGAGCGGCCACTAATGCCAGATAACTGCAACAACCAGTGCCCGAAATGGTTCATGCAAATGCTCCCAAGTTATACTCAATAAATGATGGACATCATGAAATATCTTTTTAATCTTTTGAAATTTTAAAATAATATGTATTTTTTCCAATGGATCTGCCAATTCATATTGATGAATGATAAAACCGTCATGATATAAAGTGATCCTGCTCCCGTAGAAAAACAAATTAAGTCCTTGCCTCAGCAATTTTTGCACACAATTTTTTATCCCAATTGTTGGGCGCTGGGTCTTCGCAAATAAAACTATAAGTAGCGTCCGTACATAGTGCCGTGTAAACTGCAAGAAAACTAAAGGGATATTTGAATTATAGGAAAAAAAGTTAATGTAATGTTGTCGAGGACAATCTAATTGATGTGCGGAAAGGACAGAAAGTTGGAGCCACAGCTTGCCTGTTCTAATTTATCACAAAGTTTATTTCTCCAGTCACTAGATGGTGGAGCTTCTGGGATAAACACAAAATCCGCTTCAGATGCCAAAGCAGTGACCACAGCAAGGTATCTAAGTGAATAAACAACCATTAGAATATTGTAAAGTGATATGAAATTGGCACACATCCATTATATCTAGTATAACTGTTGAGACAATAAGCATTCACCTGTGATCCAATGATACAAAAATATAGGTTTATTTCCATTACATGACACAGTTAATCAGTAGAAATAGGAGAACATAAAGAACAATCAAAAGAACATCTTACCCACAATGTCTTCCCATGACTTCCATAATAAATGTTCTCTGATGGGAGTATGCAGTGCTTACAATAGCATCAATAGCTTCAATGATGCGGTGCAAGGCAGAATCTGTGCCTATTGTCATATCTGTACCACAGAAGTCATTGTCAATAGATCCCACCTAAAACACAGGCAAAATATTTTATCATCCTCTGGTGGATGTTTAAATTAATTAAAGGGTTCAATTAAATAATACATCAAAGTTGATATTAGATTTATCTACTCTAAATTCTCCTACCAGTGTTGATCAATAAATGAAAACATACAAAGTAAGATTATATATTTACCATTCCAGCAATGTGCAAATACTTGTATTTCTCTCTTTGGTCTTTAGTAATCTTATTGTTTGCAAGTAGTTCATCAAGCAGACTCGACCACTCTTCACGGAACAAATTGGCACCAGTCAAGGAACCGTCACCACCAATCACCACTAAGTTGGTGATACCACGAGTCACTAAGTTGTAAGCAGCCTTAAGACGACCCTCTCGCTTTCTAGACCGTAATATAATGAACAACTCTTAATATCATTTTAATATTTTTTTATCAGGTAGATTAATTAATTTAAATATTTTATTATTCCATACAAATTTTAATTGTATGTTAATATCAAAGGAATAATAATAACTATGAAGTTAGTCAATAAATAAATAAAACTTACATGAACTCCATGCATCGAGCTGATCCAATAATAGTGCCACCTTTATGAATGATTGAACTGACTGAAGACCAGTTTGCCTCCTCAATGTTATCACCTCCGTCGACCATCCCTTGATATCCTTCACGAATAAAGTATACCTTGCAGCCAAGGTAAATACCCATTCGTACTACTGAACGCACTGCAGCGTTCATACCCTGAGAGTCACCACCGCTGGTGAACACTGCTAGGCCCTTTCCCTTGTGGGAACCGCGCCCAATAAACCTCTGGGTCGTAGCAGCTTCCATGGTTTTTAATTTTATTCTTTATCCCGACTCCTACAAAATAATAATAAAGTCGTTTTTACTGATATTACATAACACAACACATATATTTTATCACTATTAGTATCTTATCACTTCTCTTAATGTGCAACGCTTTTTACCGGTAGCAAAATTAATATGTACATACCGAAAAAAATTTAACAAAATCACAAAATTCAAAATCTGAACTTCACCAAGGTGACCTTTGAATGACATGACAAGCAAATGTCATTGCTATGGAGATGTTTAGTTTTGAGATAGAGATAGCAACTTCTGTCCGCTAGTAAGTAAGCAAACTATGACGATAAAATTTTAATGATTATATTAATTAGAAAGTAACTATTTCTTGTCATTTACTCCGACAGGAGTATGTATTCCTTTAAAAACCATGAGTAAAGCACTTCACGAATGTAAGACTTTCATATTATTTTATCGTAAAAACACAAATTCAGATATATAATTTTATTACATCTTCCTAGGAAGTCAAATAGTTACCTGTTGGGTTTCAAATTCTACCCATAAAACTATTGCAATTTTGGTAAAATTAATGTCCATTTGTTTACTTATATATAATGAGTATCTAAAAAAAATCGCCTAAATTCCTATACTGTTTGATGATCGATATCTAATTTATCGAACATTCTCGTACTCTATTTTCAATCTCCCACAGAGCTTGGATAACTTGGATTGGAGAACAGATTACCTACAGAAATACCTACAGCATTTACAGGAAAAGAAAAATAACACAAAACGTTTTTCTAAAAGCGCATAAATCTGACTTGTTATTGTTATTACAGTGCAAAGTGGTTCGTTTTCAATATAAACAAGTACGAGATTAGTCTTCTAAATAATTCGATAAACAGGGACTCGTATTTGGGACGTTTATGAATTGTGATCAATTTTACAGTGTATTCCGTCATCCCAATCCCATCACAAATCTAGTAAACGTACAAAACAATACAAGTGACAAAATGTCTGCGGAATCTGATATGGAATATTCCGACAACGATGGAGACGACTATGATTATTATGGAGAACAAGATGACTGTGACATGGAAGCTGTGGACCGAACTAAATCGGACCCTGAGTATTTTTTATACACTTGTTTAAGAGTTGAGGAAGTAGAGAAGTTGTTAAATGAGTCTATAGAGTTGCTCAGTAATAGCCTTCAGATCACGCCTTCACTAGCCAAGGTTTGTCTTCCGATGTTGTTGTCGATTGTAAATGTTGTGAAAAGCTTTGTGTATCATTTTAATTACGGCTGTAACTTGATGTCTTTGTAGGTAACCCTCCATGCATATGAGTGGAATGCTCAAGAGATTATAAATAAGTATAAGGAGAATGCAAATGAGGTGTTGGTGTATAGTCGTGTTAAGTCTCGTTCACCAGTGCTGCAAGCAAGCACGAGTCGTTCCAGTTGCGCTGTTTGTGCAAATACACCTCCTATGCACAAATACAGTGCTCTGGCTTGCGGGCACTACTTTTGCAATGATTGCTGGGCTATGCACTTTGAAGTACAAATTATGCAAGGTAATTAGACAAAATCATCATTTACATAACTTATATTTTGCTCTGTATTATTTAATGATACATCAAACACCAAAATATTAATTTAACAAAAAAATGGTCAGGTAATATGAAAAAACATAAAAATCCAAAATGGTTTATTAGAAATTGTGTCTTGTTAATCACCTGCAGACAACTACCACAAAATTTGATCGTTGAATTTACAAAAAAAAAGTAGTTCACCAATAAAAAGTGAGGCTTTTATGCATTTGTCATATCTATATCTATCAAAATGTTTGTCTATCCATCCATATGTCAACGGCATTTTCCTCTGAACCTATAAGTATACTTTGTAATTTTCGTAAAAGATGGTATCTGGGAACCACATCAAGATCCTAATTGTAAAAAATCAATACTTTAATACATTTGTGGATAAGAGACATGGATCTGAAAGTTTCTAAAATCATAGTTCTACTAAACATGACATTACAAATTACAAGTTGTCATACATCAATCAGTGATTAATCTTCTACTTTTGTAATAAAAAAAAAATGAGTTTTAAATTTATATAAATATTTATGACTACAAATAAACTTGCACGTTTTTGTTATGAATATGATATCATGTGAAATTAATCATCTCTCATTACAGGAGTTTCAAATACTATAACTTGTATGGCCCAAGATTGTGAACTTAGAGCTCCAGAAGATTTTGTGTTGTCTCATGTTACCAAGCCAATATTGCGTGAGCGATACCAGCAATTCATGTTTAAGGATCATGTGAAATCACACCCAGAACTTAGATTTTGTCCTGGCCCTAATTGTCAGGTTGGTATATTTAAATATATACATAGTTATAAGTACAGTTTACAAATTTTGCTCTTAGTCATTCAGGACTTTTCTCATACAAACTTCACTGCATCATGGTCATGTGGTCTTACTAGTTTTTGTATGTTCTCCCAATCTTTTTCACAACTGATTTGCTTTTTGTCCTCAGTTAACCTAAGTACAAAGTGCCTAGTGTGAGTTAAGTTTAAATTAAATTATTGCGATCAACATGTTTATGAAGTTGGCTCTGAGGTACTTATGATTAACACTCCAATAGTGTTGTATAAAGCTTTCTCGAATTAGGCACTCTGGTCTTAACATTTCCAAATGTTAATAACATAATAATATTAATTTTCATATATTTTAGTGGATATTTCGTGCATGGACTCGCGAAGGCGCCCGTCGTGTGGAATGTCAGGGGTGTGAGCTGTTAACATGCTTCTCATGCGGAGCTCCACATCACGCACCAACCGACTGCCCCACTATTCGCCGCTGGTTAACAAAATGCGCTGATGATTCTGAAACAGCCAACTACATTAGTGCTCATACCAAGGTATAATAAAATTAATCGAATACCGCCTTTTTGTCCTTGTCACCTTTTAAATTGTTAAAGAAAGTTGTAAATTGATTTACATTTCTGTAGATAATTTAATAAAACTTAAAAATATATTTATTAATCGTATCAACTTTGTTTACAGGACTGTCCTAAGTGTCAGATTTGTATAGAAAAAAATGGGGGCTGTAATCACATGCAATGTGGCGCATGTAGACACGATTTCTGTTGGGTGTGTTTGGGAGACTGGAAATCACATGGTTCCGAGTATTATGAATGTAGCCGTTATAAAGAGGACCCCAACATGTCCTCTGACAGCCAACACGCTCAAGTAAGCAGTTGCAATAAGGTTTTTAACATATACTCATTAAATTGTAATATGTATATGAATCAATATTTCACGCATCTCTTACTATTTCAGGCTAGAGAAGCTTTAAAGAAGTATTTGCATTACTATGAAAGATGGGAAAATCATGCTCGATCTCTTAAATTGGAAGAACAAACTTTAGCTAATTTGAAAAGTCGCATCAATCAAAAGGTTAGTTTAATGTACGATTTAGGTTTGTTAACATGTGTGTATTATTTTTAAATCAGCGTTTTGACATTGGCTACTTGTTTTAAAACTTTTATCTTTTTAGGTAATGGCTGGAGAAGGTACTTGGATTGACTGGCAATATCTTTGGGATTCCGCAAAGTTATTAAAGCGTTGTCGATACACTTTGCAATATACATATCCATATGCTTACTACATGGAAAACGGGCCGCGCAAAGAATTATTTGAATATCAGCAAGTAAGTGTAAAGCACTTTCGACTAAAATTTACTTTTCATTATGGACTTTATTTTGACAAGGAAATACCATTTCAGGCACAGTTGGAGGCTGAAATTGAAAACTTGTCATGGAAAGTAGAAAGGGCAGAAACGACTGACAGAGGCGACCTAGAGAACCAAATGGATATTGCCGAAAAAAGACGTACCACATTATTAAAAGATTTTTTGGAATTCCATACCACTACCGCATCTAGCAGCAAAGTATAAATGTCTTCAAGGTTTGTCATATATAAATAAATAAATAAAACTATATTGCGACAAACATTTGTATAATATTTGTGAAAGCTAGAATCTTTTTGTTCTGCCAAAGTATATTTATTAACATGACTTTGCAATAAAAATAGGAATATTAAATGTTTGTGTATTTATTTCGTCTAAATACTAACCTCTAGTGTCTTCCATCAGGGCTGAAAAAACTGTTAACAAAATGGTATTTTTATATCGAATAAATAAAGTTACAATAAATTTATTAATATTACATAAATAGTCATTTATCGGTTACATGACACGCCTAATATTAAAATAACAATCGATATGTATCGTTAAGATATCATCTTCCCAATGAATAAGTATTTTACGTTACAGGCCTAATCACTGCAAGCATGACAGCACCTACCTATTTACAAAATTTTGTATCCTTGTGTAGCTACTGTTATAAGACCTCATAATTACCAGTATGTTTATCTATACTTATAATAAATCTGCAGAGAGGTCAATTCAGGACATAAAAATAAAATGTAATCTGTAAAATTTTTGCCTGTCTGTATGTGCCTCATAGAAACAAAAACAACTCGACAGATTTTGGCGAAACTTGGTACAATCATTCTTTATATTCCTGGGCAGGTTATAGGATACTTTTTATCACGTTTCAATTAATGAGAGAAGAACAGTGAAGGGAAATATTGAAAAAAAAAAACGGGAGAAGTTACTCCATTTTTTAGCGCGTGTGCAGCCTTAATAGTTAAAGTTACCTACATAGATATAATGTGTCACGGAAATGTTCTGCATAAAATCCCACAACAGTATATGTCTTTTTATCAATGATGTATAAAACTATAGATACGTTGTCCGCGCTCTAAGATGACAACATGAAATGAAGGCAATTGACAACATCGCGCTTAGTTACGCACCAACCTGCCGCGCGACGCTACGTTTGTTTTTAATTTATATCGTGTGTGTAAACCTGTGCGAAACATAAAGAAAGCATGCCGTCGTGTGTGTTTAGACGATGTACAAATTATACTCCAAAAGTTAAAGACAAAAATGTGTCATTTCATGCGTAAGTTCACTAAACAACCTATTTTTGT